TACATTATACACATATATTTATTATACATGTGACAGAATTGATAACAAACTACATGCATAATTAGTAACAGAATAAAAAGGATGTAAGAAAATCCGAATTAAAACATCCGGCAAATTCGAAGTTTGTTAAATAGAGGATTTGTGAAAACCGAAATTATTTTCTTGACAACCCAATATATCACAGATCGTTAATACAATTAATACAGCGAGCTGTTTATATATATTATTTTCTGTATGAATTGAACAACTTGCGCATCACCAGTTTATGAGTTAAAATATTTTTACAAGAATAATTTATGAACAGTGAAATAATTCACATCACTAGAAATAAATAAGTATTTTACAAACATGACAAAATATGTATATGTACGTATACATACGGAGCTTATTATTCGGAGCTAGATAAACATTATTGCACCACGTATAAGCATATCAAAATGCGCTAAAAATATTTGTCCACGTTATTCCAACCAAAGGCGTTGAAATTAACTTAATTATTAATTGGCGATAAGTGTTTAACGTAATAAAAGTGCCAGCACTAAATACTTATTAAGTTAATAAACAAACAATTCTGGGAAATGAATTTCATAGGCTGGTGTTTGAGTCGGTTTAGCATCCATTGGCGGCACGCCGGGTTGAGCGGCGTTCCGTGGATCGACGGACAGTGTATTGAATATTTCTGATAATTTGCTTTGGAGAACATCATGCTGTAAAATTATTTACTCATTATCTTCCTTTCTATCACTAATTTATAGTGAACCAGTAGAAATTGTAACAAAAATTAGTAAAATGTGTACCTTTGGCTGTGTCTTTGATACCAAATCTTGGAATGGTGCGTTTCTAAATAAGTGCGATAACTGTAACCGTTTCTCTTCTTCTATCACGTGATTGTTATTATTCTCTGTTAGAATTCGTTTCATGCTCTCGAAAGTTAATTCTTCACCAGGCAGTTTCTGAAAAGGAAAACAATTAACATTGTTTTAAGTTGTTATCTAAAATTTATGTAAAGTCCACGTAATTTTTATTTAATGCGGGATTTTATTATTAATGTACTTGAACATTTTTTCAGAAAACTTTAATGGATTCTATTAAAACAAGGTAAACATAAAAATGGTTGTCCCTCGCAAGTATCACAAAATGTTACGACTTGTTTGGTCAAATTTCTTGCTATTTTTCTGCCATTCTGCGATAAGAAGCAATGGCCCTAATATGTTTAAACATTTGCAATCGAGTAAATTCTAATTTGCTAGTATTGCGCTTCGCATTGCTGTACTACAATACCAGCGCGCTCGGCCTGACGGGGAAGTCGTTATAAAACCGCGTGGCACTGTTAATAAAGAGTTACAAATGGAGTAATATAAAGTAGATACCTTTTGTACACCGGGGGATGAACCACCGCTGTCTAATTCCGTAGCGCCAGAATTAATGTCGGCCAGCGAGTTTCGTCCGGTACTATCGACCCACGAATGCCTAAAAGTATCATTGTTTAAAACAACGATTGAGATTATAAATGAAATCATATGATTATGAGAATTACAAATATGTATTACCGATGTTGTAGCGAAATGCTGCTATAACCAGACCCTTGTTGCAGTTTTCCACTGTCGAGACCAGCTCCTTTCAAACATTCGCTTAAGACAGTTTGATCGACCAGCAGAGTCGGTGCCAATCTAGCAGACAATCCGGAATCATACTGAGATTGTAAATCAGGTAAAAGGTGTGGCGCTTCTTTCCGGCGTATTTCTACGATCTACGAATGTAAAAAAGAACATTAGAATATTTAAACAAATTAAGGACTTTGTGTTGTTTGAAAGATGCGATAAATTATCATAGGATGACGATTTCTCTTTAAAATTAAAGCTTGAAGCTTCTACGTTCTGGAAATTCTATCTACAGATTTTCATTTTTTGAATAGTATACATCAACAAAATGATCAATAACTTACTTTGATTGCGTAATCCATTAGAGATGTGATGTTACAAACGTACGATATTAACACGAGTAGACTGATGACAATCGAGTGCAAATTGTATTTGAGGGAAATACTGATCTGACCACTTGTTAAAGCCAAATCTTGAAGACTCAGAACTAATCTTAGCAGCTCCAAGACGGTCTCCTCCGAAGCCAATTCGACGGCGAGCAATGCCAACGTCGTATATATAGACTCCACGTTTTCCACCTTGTTACTTGCCAATTCTAGCGACTCGTACAACGCTAAGTAAATTTCAGGGCCGTGTTTCCGTATGAAGATCACGTCTGGTCTAGATGCCTTCTCGATGGTCAGATCAAGTTGTGCAACGTTTACTCTGTTTCAATTAAATACAACAAAATTACATTCACGATCGTTCACTTTCTCATTTAAAATGCGCGCGTTAGAAAACTAACTTACGTAGGTTTCGCGAGTTTTGTGATATTCTGATGCCTGTCGATCAGAGTATGAAAGATTTGTTGTACTAAAAGTCGCATCTCGGCGTCTGCCGCGAGCGACATTCTCAACAGCGGCTCCAAAAAGCTTGGAGGGAACGTGGTATTTAAATGTATGGTTTGATACTTAGTGCCGACCTGGAATCGAACATTGATACGAGCGTATTAGGCGACCAACGTTCATTGTTTCACTTATATTTCTTAATAATATGTAATTACTTTTAAAAGTGACTTTAAGAGAATGCTTTGGAGTAACACGTCTCCTTTCCCAACGGAGACCAAGCGATCTGGTTGACTGTATGGAACTTTGCTCATTATGAACATCATAATTTCGATCTTCTGATAATCCGGCAGATGATTCGCAAACTCTCCGAGGGCGTTTATAAGTGCCTCTTGGTACAACTGTTCGTCGCTACTGGACGATTGATTCCTCGTTACGCTGACTCTCAGATGAGACAGCAGAGAATTGATTATTTCCAAAACAGATGGCCCTTTAAAACAAATACATTAGTTAATTTAGCTTTCATTTTATTATCTTCCTAAAACTATCGACTTTTTTTATACAATGCACCTCTGCATTTAAAGCCAGTCATTTTTACTGGTTTGATAATTCTTAAAACGTACCAACGCTCTCGCCGGCTGCGATGGAAATGATTTTTGATAAAGTATCCGCGATGCTCGTACGAATTTTCGGTGACGACTTTGAATGTCCGTCGAGATGCGTCATTAATGCTTCCACGACAGTGTACGAATACTGCGACTGGACACAAATTTTCACGTCGTAAATATAAACCAATAAGTTAGAATAATCATTTTACTTCCGGCTCACCTGAATGGAGAACATAATTATCCTAAATGTATGAATTGCGAAGTAATTAGGAACCCACAGCTGATGGTTATCTAAATGCCTGTGAATATTTCTTTCTTTATTAAAGTTTCTTTTGTAAGTTTGTAATTTTAACAAACCTTAAAACAGGCCTGATAACGCATCTGATATGACCGAATGACGCGCGTCCGATAAGCTCACGCATGCAAGTTTCAGCGACTTGCGGTGGGTCAGATCGTTCCTCCGTTGGGCTATCTGGTGTTGGATCCTCCTTGCTAGAATACCTATTAAGATTATATTATTAACATACAGATTAGTCAGTTTGATCCAATATTAAAACAGTTATTATTTTAAAGTGTGTCTAAATAAAAATTAATGTAAGTCACTGGTTTCTATTCATCACCTTGAATTCTGCATGTTATATAACAACGAAGGAACGATCTTGTCCATGTGAACAGGTTCCCAAATGTTCTCTACCAGATCATCAGAAAGAGTTTTCCTTACGACACCCTAAATTACAAGAACAAAATTACTGCATTCTAATAAAATTATTTCAGCGAGACTTATAAGAATCTGTAATTAATAAGTAAAAATCATGCCTGCAATCCTTGAATTCCAGCAAGCCGTATTTGTTTACGAATTGCAGGGTCATTGTGGTTCGAGTGGCACATGGCAGAGTATTTTGATACAAAGAAATCGTAACGTGTGTGATAAGACGGCGTATCCTGCTCGATGTTGGCAAACCGGACAAACTAGAAGAAGCCAGCACTTTGTTCAACTGAATTGAAAGATGCCAAAAATAAGATTATTCTTTCGTACAAGAAAAACTTATAAATTAACACCAAACAAAATCGTCATAATAGAATTAATTCAATAGAAGACCAACGCTATAGCGTCTACAAAGAGTATTGACATATTCGATAAGAAGCGTTTGCGTTTAATTTTGGTATGGAGGTAGATTCCGATAGCGATGAAACCGAATATCCGCTATTAAATTTGCCAAAAATATCGGCCTACGTCATTCGACTGTACGTCTTCATTTCTTAGATGATCGAGACTTAAGGTATGCCAATATTTTTCGTAGCCACAGATTAGATCGTCTGTTGAAACTTACAGATTGCGTGGCTAATATTTGTAACTGTGGGTCTGTGGATTCCAACAATTTTTGTATCATTTTTAAAAAACTCTCAACGAATAAATTCAGAGTCTGAGCATGGCACGCTTGCAACAGTTGGTCCATTGCTTCCATGGCAATGACAACGAATCCATTTCTTCTCCTAATAAAAGAAACATTAACTCTCCCAGTAGTTGAAAAACAAACAAAGATATCCAGGTAATTAATGATACGTAATTATTAGTGTGACTTGCATTTAATGTTAGTAAATAAGTATTTACATTGGTTGCATGAATTAGCATTCGTCGCAGGTGTATTAATTATATATAATCCTCAGTAGATTCTTTTATTAGAACATGCAACCAATTTTTGGTAGATTAAGAATCTTGAATCTATAATTCTTTGTAGTTTCTTAATATATTAAGTAGAGTACTGTTAATCTACTG